GGGGGAGGCCGGGGCTGGCCGCTGGGTGTCGGGACTACGGGGGCTGCACAGACCCTTCAGGACTGGAGCGCTGGGTGTCAGCATCGAGCCAGCCCCGGAGCCGGCACGAAGCTGCCGGAGCAGTTCCTTCGATCGCTTCATGACAAATAAATGGATTAAACCCACGACATCCCTCCCGCCTTCCTGTTTTTCTCATTCCCTCAAAGCACTGCCCGAGGGGAACCGGGATATTACCTGTGGTCGCAGTGTTACCCCCTGCATCCTCTGTCTCGGCAGCCTGGCTCCCCATGGGGGGGCACCTTGCCCTGGCCCCCCAGCACCCTGCCCTGACCCCCAGCACTGCAGGAGTCTGGGGAAAGATTTATTTTAAGTTTTTATTTAGAGCACCCCTGGCACCACTAAGTGCCTGATCCAGTACTGGAGCAAGCAGCAAGTGCAACCCTGGGACTGCTATTCCACTGGAATTGGGAAGCACCAAGGGGCTTTTCTGGCTGGTGGTGAAAATCCCCCTCTCCTGAGATTCTCGGGCATCCCCTTGGCAGCCTGTTCCCACGGCCAGGGTTGTCCCTTCCTGGGGGACACAGCTGAGATCTATCCCAGCATGTGGGCTGGCAGACTTTGTGACTCCCAGTTCTGGTGAGTGCCCATCAGCCCCCGGGGAGCCCCCAGCTTGAGAGCTGGGCATCCCAAACCCTGCACACAGCTTCACTGTGTCCTGCCAAGCTCTGCCTGGGACTCAATCCCCATCCTGGTCCCCATAGGCTCATCCCACGGCCAAACCAGTCAAATCCAGGCCTGGCTCCTGCTGGCATTATAAATAGCTGGGACGTGGGGAGGGAGCTGTACTCCCCGGGATGGGGCTGCCCTGGGGTGGCGAGTCCCAGTGGGTGCTGACTGGGGGGACCCACTGGGTGCAGGGCTGGAGGGTGGGAGGGCTCAGTGCTGCCGCGGCGCTGCCCACCCCTGGAGGTGCAATGAGCGCGGCGTCCGGGGGAGGGCTGGGGCTGCGTGTGTGAGTGTGTGAATGCATGTATGTGTGTGTGTGTGAGACATTTATAGATCACGTGTGAAACTTGATCTCCCCACAGTGGGCTCAGAGGAGAGAAAAAAGATAGAAGTATTGTTTTTAAACAGAATTTTTTTTTCCTTTGTTT